TTATTAGAAAACGAATCCTGATATTTCTCACTCCGTGTAAAACTGGGAGAGAACCAAATTCCCTGTAGAGCATTGGTTTGGGGAAAAAAAAATAATTAAACCTATAAACCACTTAATTTGGGTCGAAATAAAATGTTCAATTTCAAACTTAGCAACTTAATTTTAGCTGCTGCTTGTAATATAATCCAGCAGTAAAAGCAGCCACTATGTGCCTAAAATGATGCCTGCTGTGTGTATTTCATTATGTTCTGGATTTCATCATGTTTTTATTTGGCATTTAAAAATAAAAGGGGTTGTGGTGTGTTTTTCTTTTTTTTTTTTTTAAGCTGGAATATAGAATGTGGTGTCTGGTAAACTAATGACATAATGACTCCAAAACGGGTAATTGGCGTGTAAGTGGTAATTGCTGGTAATTGTTACACTGATGGGGACTTTGTTCCTGGGTAATTGGTCGTTTTAGCTGGGTGGGAAAGTTGAGAAGCACCAAAAAGCTGCAGTTTGGAGTTTGGTGAAGCCCATCCCTGGGACTGGATGCGAATTCCCTCAATTCTGAGGAGGAAAGGGCTGTGAAATGAATTCCAGAGGCCAAGCCTGTCTTTGATCCCACGGGGGATCTGCTCCTGAGCGGGGGATGTGTTGGGCCACCTCTGACACCAGAAGCCTGAGGGATTTAATGGGACTCTCCCATCCTAAACACGTTAAAATCTGGTGTCACCTCACGTTCATTATCCCAGGCCTTTCACTTCCAGCAGTCTGGAATGAACTTCTCAAGTGCCAGGGAGAAGAAATCTCCCTGAAAGGGAAGTTCCTTTCTGAAGGCCAGCAATTAGTGGGTGGCTCAGGCTTTAAAGGGTGAGGAGTTGAAAGGATAAAATAAGTCTCAGGATAAAATATGGCACCTCATCTTCAGGGATTTCCTTTCCCCATCCCACTGATGGTTTTGGTGTTCAGAACATGGGGAGTGATGCAAATTCATGGAAAATTTTCTCCTTTTTTTTTTTTTGAGAGTGGCTCCCAATTTACAATCTGCGTTTGTTTTTTGTACTTCTGAGAGAAGCAAGACCATAAAAACATCCACAGGTTCACTAAAGCATTTCAATACACCGAGACAAACCTTTCTCCTGGGTGTGGAAACCATCTAAATGAGAATGCCCCCCAGTCACCTGCTGTCCCCTCATTTCAGCAGCAAGGAATCATCCAAAGGAAGCAATTCCTGCCACAGGAATTGATCCACCTCTCCTGCTTTGTGTCCTTTGCTAAATCCAGGGTGAATTCCCCAGGGAGGATTCCATGGAAACGAGCACTGGGAAAGGCAGGGCGTTTGACACCCCATTTCCCAGAAAGGATGGGAAAAACCTCCTTTTCCTGGGAGAGCCTCATGAAACACCTTCACTCTCCCCTCTGGCACGTCGAGGCAAACCTTTTCTGCCCAGTCCCATTTCCTGAGCGTGGAATCCTGGGGGGGCAGGACAGAGAGCTGAGCGTGAAACCAAAAAGAACTTGGGGGATTTTCAATAAAAACTTCTCAAGTGAGTCCTTCTCCTCCCTCCCTCTTTGGTCCTGAGTCAGGTGATTCCAGTAATTCCAGTAATTCACCCCAAATCCCTGTAGACAAATATTGTGGCTCATCCAGCTCTGACTCAAGTGGTAATTTAGGGTGACAAGCAATTCCTTCAGCACATGAGTAACCACGTTAATGGGAGGATGTTACCCAAGAGCAGCCCTTGGAATGACAGGCACAAGTCTGACAACTTCTTGGGAGGCCTTTAAATACCTGTTATTTTATTATTTGCCGGCGGTGGCTCTTGGAGAGGAGCTCAGGGCAGGATGTCTTGGTTCCCACTCAGGAATCTCTGTGTGTGGGGACTGAAATGCACCTCCTGAATGAAATGATTAAAAGGATCTTTGCACAGAGATGAGAGGCAGATGCAAATGCAAACGCTGATGAAGAAGCTGGAACAGATGTCCCCCTCCTGGAATGCAAATCACCTGAATTGTCATGATGTCTCACTGACTAATTGCTCCTAAATGCTTTTCCAAGGCTCATTCTGATGGGAAAAAAAACCCTGATTCTGGAATTCAGTGATAAGAGCTTTTGTGAGGGAGCAGGATGAGTAAATCCCACTTTGTGCCATCCCTGGGAACGGGGAGAAGGCTGGAAAGCCAAGGGAGACCCCTCAAAGCCCAACCTCTGTCTCTGTGACCTGTTCCTCGACATTCCCCCCTCCCTCGTGGAGTGGAGGGAGAGGGATGGAAAGCAGGAGGAGCACGAGAAATGCAGAATAAACCCCGTTTTGGGACACGAACACAAGGTGCAGCCTCATCTTTGTGACTCAGGAGCAGCGTCTGCCTTTTCTCCTGGGCTGGCCCTGAGCCTCTTCTAATCAAGGCAAAAACACTAAGCTGGGAAATGAGCCCGAGTTTGGGCCAGAGGGATCTGAGTCACAGCGAATAAAATGAGCTGTTGGACTGGGAAAGGGCCACAGCATTGAGAGCTGAGCTCAGAGCCAGCATGAGGGAGGCCAGGAATAAAAGAGACTGATAAAAGGGGGATATTCACCCCTCTGTGCTTTCAGTCATCGATAGGACAACCCTCTGAGGGACAGGGGGGATTGTTGGGGTGTCCTGGGCAGGGCTCCCTTGCTGAGAAGAGCGGGAAAATCCAGGAGGAGTCGCTGATTGCCAGGTGGAAAAGCGAGGGAGGAAAGGTTGGGAATGGCTGTTTGCTCCTGGGGCTCCTGGAAGAGCTGCCCTGGGATGCTCCCAGGGAGCTAAAATTGAGCAGAGTTCAGTTCAGCCAAAGCCTGAGGAGGAATCAGTGCTGGTGAATCCTTCTTGTTTTCCCTTTAAGGACCACTGAGCTCCTTCAGGCTGGAAAAGCCCCATTCCAGCAGCCACCTGAGTCATCCCAGAATCTGGGAGTGTTTGATTTTCTCCCCTAAAATCCCCAAATCTCCTTTCTTTGATGCTCCCCAAGGATTTCGGTTGTGGTTAAGACCACGCAGCCCTCACTGAAGAAAAGAGAGCCCAAAGGTGCAAACACCGAAGTCTAAAAGCGACCCTTTAATTTTCTGTCTTCAACACTTGGCACTGGTGACAGTGACAATATTTGACAGTGCAAGACAAGGGAGGTACAGCCTGAACATTCCTCGGGAAGAAGAGTCATTTTATGGAAGTGAAGGGAGTAGTTCTGTGGGACCAGGGTGTCACCTGGCTCGCTTTCTGGGATGGGAATATCTGGCAGGAGGGTCCTGTGTAGGTCAAGCTGCCACGTGGCCCTTGGGGACATGGCTTAGGGGTGATTCTGGTGGGGCTGGGTGAGGGTGGGGTGGGATGGGATATTCCAGCCTTGAGGATTCTGGAGATTCTGATCGAAGGCTCTCTGTTCCTGCTGCCTCCTCTGACTCCCAGAAACTCAACTGAATCCTCTGTTCCTGTTCTAAACATGCCAAGGCAGGCCTGGCCGTGGCACTCAGTGCTCTGGGCTGGGGGACAAGGTGGGGACGGGGCATAGGGGGGATCCATGGGCTGGGAGGGCTTTGCCAACCTCAGGGATCCCGGAATTCTTTCAGACCTGGAGGTGCCTGTTGGGAATGAGGAGCTGCAGCGATCCTGAGCCGCTGTCTCCCCCCAGTGTCTGCAGATTTTCTCGTTCAAGCTGCAGCTGCAGAACACAGAAGGTGGCAGAACCTGCCTTGGACAGGACACAACAAGCCCTTATATACTTATATACTTATATACTTATACAAAAATTATCTTTATATATTATAAACAATATGAATTATAAATATAGAATTTTATAGTATATATCATATAAAACATAATATGTACTATATGCAATTTTATATATTAAATATATATTCTATATTTATAGATATGGTCTATATTCTATATTTATAGATCTTGAATATATATTTATATAAATAGTGTATATCAATATATAAATTATAAATATGCAGTTTTATACATTATAAGGCAATATTAATAATATTATATTGTTATATTATATAAAGTAATTTTTTATTATTATTATTATTATTATTATTATTATTATTATTATTATTATTATTATTATTATTATTATTATTAAATCTACTCCTGAGAGCCTAAAAATTCTAGACTGGGGACAATATTCGAGGACAACCCGTGACTTTATGGAGCCAAAACACTGCTGACTCGTGCAGCTGGGGGACCCCAGCCAGAGCTGAGGGTTCCTGGGCAGTTTGGGGGCTGTGGCTGAACTGAAATCCCACCCCACAGGACAGATTTCAGCCTCACCTTCCCCTCCAGAAGGCACAAGAGTTTAGGAAGTGCTTCAGGATGGAAAAGTGAGTGGAAACGAGGAGCTTTAGGTTCCCTCCCAACCCAAACCATTCCAGGATTCCAGAATTCCAAGACCAAGCTGGCTTATTTCCCAGGAGCTGCTGCTATTGCAGGAATAGCTGAGGAGTAAACAAAGAGCCAAAAATCCTGTTTTCTCAGAACAAACCTCCTGCCATGAAACCTCCTCAGAGGTGACCCCGTCATCTGCAGGAATCCAAGCAAGTCCTGGATGCACAGAGGGGTTTTCCTGGGAAAAGCTCCTCTCCTGAGGCTGTTCCTCTGGTCCTACAGTCCCCAGACTGACCCCCTTGCAGGAATGAGCTGCTCTGGGAAGCTGCACAGAGTCCTCTGCTCGTCCTTCTGTCCCTGCACGGACCTTGTGCTCATCCATGATGGATTCTGAGTGCTTTTCCCTGTAAACCCAACCACCTCCTGGCAGATCTTCCTTAAAAACTGCCTCCCCTGCAGCTCTGATCTTTTTTAAACAAGCAGCAAACGAGGCCAGGGCTTTATTTATTTATTTTATTTTTTTTTTTTTACAAAGGGTTTTTTTATTGCATAAATAGAGGTTGAAATCCATGTAAAAAATGGAGATACAGTGGAAGGGAACGCTCCTCTCCAGGGTTTTATTCCTCTGCCACATCCATCATCTCCAGGAAGGCTTCATCCTCCTGGGGAAGGAATCCAGTGCCAGCTGCCAAGTGTCAGGAATTCTGCAGGCTGAGGAGAGAGCAGTGAGAGCTAAATCTGCTGCCATGACAGCCCTGCAGGAGAATTCCCTCCCTTCTCTCTCTCTCTCCCAGTATGGAAGGACAGGGCTGAGGGGGCTCCACTCCTTATCCAGCCTGGCCTGGAGCAATTCCAGGGCTGGGGAGCTCCCAGGGGGATTGGGATTGGGATCACTCTGCTCCCTTGCAGGGCAGCCCACGTGGCACTTGTTTAGGGATAAAATCCCACCTCATTCCCTCTAAATCCGCCCTCTCCCGTTTTCCAGGGAACAGCAAAACTGCTTCCCAAGAAAAGCTCGAAATGGCCCAAATTTACCCCCAAACCAAAGCCTCACTCAGAGCCAAACAGGAGACCTGGAAAACACCTTTGGGTTGGTTATGGGTGGTTGGTTTTTCTCTTGGTAAATGAAAATAATCCTTGGTTCCCAGGGTTATTCCCAGGGCCTCGCTTCCAGGCACAATTCCCAACCCCTTGTTGCAGGGCATAAAGCAGGGATAAGGTTGGAAATAAAAGCTCCTGAAGATTAAAACTGTTTTCAGGTGTGAGGGAACGGCCTGAGGAGGGGAAAGGAAGTTTTTCATTTGAGTAACATGACATCAAACTCCCACTGAGCTCACACGGGGCAGGAAGAGAATTCCCATTTTTTGGCCTAACAGGGAGCAAAATGATACAACAAAAATCACAAACAAGTCAGGGAACAGAATCTCAGCACCAGGCAGGACTCATTTCAGTAATGGATTTGATCCAAAAAAAGCCATGACTGCTTAAACTTGGGAAATAGGGAAGGGGGATTCTGCCCGTGGGGAATGAAACCTCCAGATTTTCAGGAACGAGATGTTCATTTTGTTCACACTTTGTGCTGAAAGATGAGCAGTTTTCTCAGTGCATTATACATGGTGGATGTTACACAAACTAACCTGTTCCTTGGGCATGGAATTTGGCCTTTCCAGCTGAAACTCCCAGCTTGCCAATGATTTAACTAATCCAGAACGGCTGATTATTTGCTAATTAATTATGGGACTGGAGGCCAAGAGCTCTGCTTGCATTTCCTGCCCAATTTCACCCTCTCCTCCTGCAGCAGGATTTCCTGGGCCTCAAAATTCCAGGAGATAAAAGAGCAGAGAAGGAATATTGGGCTAAGATATCCTCAAAGCTGAACTGGAATTCCAGCACAGATGGGCATGGTCTGAGTGTGCAAACCACAAACAGCACAAGAACTCAGCTGGTGATGGTTCAAATGGCACAGTTTAAATCAAAAATAATGGGATTGATATGTCAGTGCCAGTAGGGAGCAGCAGGATGTGGAATGAATTCCCGACCTGAGGGACTCTTCAATCCTCCTTCTCTGCTTCTCTTTTCAGTTTCTCCTCCCGTTCCCTCTTCAGCTTTTCCTCAATTTTTTTGCTCTGGTACATTTTCACCCCAGCAAACGCCAAGCAAAGGATCAAGGTTTTGGCTGCCAAAATGTACATCAGCAGTGGGAAATTCTCCAGAGCCTGAAATGCAAAAGAAAAGATTGAGACAGGAACGCTTGGATGGATAATTGTAAATGGATTTACAGGGATGTCACAGAGCTCCCTCCAGCAACAGCATTATCCAGGTGCTGAAAAGGCTCCTCTGTCCAGGGTTTTTTATTCCTGGAGGGAACTTTGAAGCAGGCAGATCAACAATTAGGGGAAAAAACAAAGACAAATCCCCTTCACTCGAGTTGTACCTGAAGGTAAAGAATGGAGAAGCCCCCTGGGACAGGTCTTGTTTTGCAGCAAATGGAATATTCCCATGATCTGGGGCTGGAAAAGGGGAACAGCTCAGTGTTTTAGGATAACTGGAGCAACAACAAATCCCCCAGAGTGTGGTGGGAAAACTACCCTGCCCTGGGCATGGAAAGCCCCTTCCAACACAGAACCCACCCAACTGCTTGGAACAGCAGCAATTCCCTGCCTCAGGAATGTGGGACAGCCTCACCTTCCAGTTGAATGCCACCATCCTGGCCGTGGGGTGACAGCAACTCCACACGCACGTTCACGCTCCTCAGGTCACCCAGCGGGGCAGAAGCATCTTGGAGAGATGGAAATGAAAGCAAAATCAGGGCTTGAAGAAACGGGAATGAAGGTTAGAACAGAATCAGACGATCTGCTTCCAGCCAGCAGGAACACCCCGCTCCTCCCCGGGGGCTCCTGTGCCTGTCACAGCACCAGGAGCTTCCCAAGTGACCCCCACGGGCTCTCCAGGAGCTGAGTGACAGCAGCAACGTCCCTGCTGAAGGACAGGGGGGGTTTGACAGGCCCTGGGCAGGTGGCAGGGCTGGGATTCCCCAGCCCAGCAGCTCCCTGTGGAAAACACAGCCCTGGCTGCTTTGGGAAGCTGCAGTTCCCAAAGTGTTGGGTGGTGTCTGAGAGCTCCAGGACACCAAGGCAATCCAGAAGAGGTTCCCAGCCCACCTGCCCCTTTTGGAGCCTGAACAGCCAATAAATTCTGGGATCTACTCTGATTTACCACTTCTCCCCGATTTACTAATTAATTAATTAACTCCCCCACATTAAAACTGTAAGTTAAATGAAATCCTCCACGCTGCAAGCAACACAGGAGCAAAGCAGCCACTCCCTGGGTGGGCAACACACGCTCCAGAGCTGAGATCCTGGGTGGGGAAGTGCCTGAGAAACCAGGAGCCAAATAACTGCTCTCGCAGCTCCTGCCCTGCTCAGACAGCAAATTGTGATTTCCCCAGCCTGGGAATCCTCTTCCCTCCTTTTCCCACAGCTGCAAACCCTCCCTTCCTGCTGAGACCACCCCGGAGACAATCCCCACGGAGAGACACTCCAGGGATCTGTGTTGTGGAGATCCAGCTATATCCAAGTTCCCTTATTTTTGTATTGAGGGAATGCCAGGACAGCTGTGAACTGATGAGTGTTGGACCTCCAGGACTAGGTGTTTCAACTTTCTGGCATCATGGAATCAGATGGTGTGGGTTGGAAGGGACCTGAAAGACCACCTTGTTCCAACCCTGGACACCTTCCACTCTCCCAGGTTGCTCCAAGCTCCAGCCTGGCCTTGGACACTTCCAGGATGGGGCAGCCACAGTTTCTCTGGGAATTTTATCCCAGCTCCTCACCACCCTCACAGGGAAGAATTCCTTCCCAACATCCCATCTTAACCCTGTTCTCCTTCAGCTTAACACCATTCCCCCTGTCCTGCCACTCCAGACCCTTGGAAAAGGTCCCTCTCCATCCTCCTTTTAGGAATTTCTGCTGTTGCCTCCACAATTCCAGCAACCATTCAGATTCGAAATGGCCTTTGAGGGATGTTTTTGTTGTGTGTGCAGGAGGAGTTTTAGGCTCAGCAAATGTTGTGGGAGCCCATCTAGGGGTGTGACTGCAGGGTGAAGTCCTTCTGGCACGTGGATCACTCCTGAAAAGGCTTTTGGTTGGGACTGTTCAGCCAACGCTGCTGGAATATTCCAGCTCTGCTGGTGGGATCTGCCTGGATTGGGTGTCCATCAGGAGGAGCTGCCCCGGAGTCACACGGGATAGGAAGCAAAGAAATTCTCCCTGTGTTCTCAAGAGTGGGGTTTGGATCCAAAATCATAAAATCATGGAATGGTTTGGGTTGGAAAGGACTCTAAAGATCATCTCATTCCAACCCTGGACACCTTCCACTCTCCCAGGCTGCTCCAAGCCCCATCCAAGCTGGCCTTGGGCACTTCTAGGGATGGGGAGTCCACAACATCTCTGGGCAAATCGTGGTTTTTAGTATCACCTTCCCACTTTCTTCTCCCTGCCCTGGGCTGTAGAACCAGTAGAACCATTCCAGGGTTCTACGAAAACCAACATTTCTTCGCACTGGGGTTGTCAGCCCACAAGCACAGAGCTCAGAGACACCCAAGGGTTGTGGTATCTTAAAAGCCTGTGGGCAAATAAACAGCTGGAATTTCGTGTTTGCCTTTTCCTGAGGCTGATAAGGCCCAGATAGGAGCTGGGAACACATCCACAGGCAGGCATTGTTCGTTCCCCAGGAAAATCCCTGGACAAACACTCCTGGGGACAGCCTGGGCCCCACAGAAGGATCTCAGGGTTCCAACTGAAAACAATGAAATAAACATCAAGAGCCACATAAGATCTTCACACCTGACAAAGGAGAAATGAAAACACTAGTGATTCCTCTGGCAGCTCCTCACATGCTCCAAACTCTGGAAAATAAGAAGGGAGAAAGATGGGATGGATCAGTCACAGTCTCTGGATTAAAGTCAAATCACAAGCAGAAATGCCAGTGGCACCTCAGCTGTTCCAGCCTGGATCTCAGGAAGAAGATCCCAGGGCTGGAGCCCCTCTGCTCTGGAGCCAGGCTGGGACAGCTGGGGGGGTTCACCTGGAGAAGAGAAGGATCCAGGGAGACCTGAGAGCCCCTTGCAGGGCCTAAAGGGGCTCCAGGAGCGCTGGAGAGGGACTGGGGACAAGGGATGGAGGGACAGGACACAGGGAATGGCTTCCCACTGCCAGAGGGCAGGGAGAGATGGGATATTGGGAAGGAATTGCTGGCTGGGAGGGTGGGCAGGCCCTGGCACAGGTTGGGCAGAGAAGCTGTGGCTGCCCCTGGATCCCTGGAAGTGTCCCAGGCCAGGCTGGACGGGGCTTGGAGCACCCTGGGCTGGTGGAAGGTGTCCCTGCCCATGGTAGGGGGTGGGATGAGATGATCCTTAAGGACCTTTCCAGCCCAAACCCTTGTGTGGTTCTGTCCCACCTTGGGAAGGGTCTGCAGGAGGCACCTCCCTGAGCCCATCCCAGCTCTGCCCTGGGCTGGAGAACAAGGGATGGGGACTGGGAGAGCAAGGGAGGGGGTGGAGAACAGGAAAGGGGCTGGAGAGAAAGGAGGGGAGGTTGGAGAACAAGAAAGAGGGATGGAGAACAAGAAAGAGGGATGGAGAACAAGGAAGAGGGATGGAGAACAAGGCCGGAGGGGAGGCTGGAGGGCAAGGAGGGGGCGCTGGTGAATCGGAGGGGGATGGGGGG